AAAACATTTTTATTGATAAGTTAGATCGTCATTGACCTTTCAGATTGTTGTTGAAGGAAGTGACCCTCGTTTGGTGAGAAAGAACGAATGCCATCTTTAGATTGCATTTTTTGTGACCCTCAAAATACTGTAACTCTCATGCGGGTTAGAAATATGACTCATTGCTATTTTACGAACAAGTGCTTCTAGAAAATATCATCGTACAATTCAGACGGATGCTAATATTCTCAAATAATTTCGCGAGTTAAACAATTTTCGTTGTGATATAGATAAACTTATCGCAAATGAGTATCCCATGTTTTAGCAACATTGATGTATTTTCCATTGTGTCACGTTGTATATTACTCAATTTCACCACCTAAAGCACTGTTTCTCCACCGTTAGGTCGCGAAGACAAATCTAGGGGGTCGCAAAATTTGAAGTAATTTTCTCAATCTCAAAACTAGATGTTGAGAAATTACAGTACAAGTTATTGTTGTATTGCTGACTACGTTTTTCTGTGTTATCTATGTATAATTAATGGTGCGGGTGAACTTATTTTCCCATTGAAAGTTTTTTCTTATGTGGAATCATATTAGAAACCCATAAATTGTTTTCAAACGATTTCTGTATTCCGCCACCATAAATGGAAAGTCTTTCACTTCGTCGTGAAAGACAAAACGTGCTTGGAGCGTGATATGTTAATTTATAATAAATAAGAGTTCTTACTTTCTCTTCAAAGAATCTCTCTTTATTTTATTATTTTGTTTAAACAATTTCGGACAAAGGGTCGCGATTAATTTATTTATTATTATTATATATATTTATTTTTTTTACTTATAAGGGGGTCGCAACAAGACTAAAAATTAGGTATATACCGAGTACCTTGTTATTAACCGGACTCAGCTAATCAAACCGGGCCAATTTTGTCTGGTATCCAGTACTGGATAATACTGGTGTATGTTCGGCACATTCAGGCTTACAGTAACCTTTAATAAGAATAGTTGTAGTTTCGGAAATCAGTTTATTCCCTCAGTTTCTAAATAATCAAGATGAAATAACTAATTTAAGCATGCCATATTTTACTTTAGAACAAAATTTTAATTTTTGGAAATCTTGGTAAAGTGGCTACTTTTTGAACAGCTTGTTTATGTGGATACCTTAGGGATTAAAAAAAAATGCTTAGGAGAAGGATATGCAAATACTGAAGGATTGATTAACACAATTGGATTGTAAATATTAAATTTTAAGTTTTTATATATATATATATANTTGGTAAAAGTAAACAATATTTACCTATCTTTCTTTCTTCTCTCTCTCTGTATATATATATATATATATATATATATATAATCAAATAAAAATGGTCTGTTTAATTTGTTTAAAAATTAACATCTATGCTGACCTTGCATGTTTTAGCTCATTGTGTAGACGTTCAATTTAATGATATTTTAAAAACTGGTTCCTCTTCTATTTATTGTAATTCCATAAACTTAAGAGATTAGTTGCTATGAAGCTTTAACTATAAATTTTAAAAACATTTATTATCTTATTGTATTTAACATTTAAAGAGCTGTTTTGATATTAAGTTTAAAAATACTATTAATAGGAAATTATTTTGCGAACTTCTTTTAAAGTTTTATTTTAATGTTCTTAAATAAATATTACATATTAAAAAATATATTATTATATAAAAAAAATTAAATTTCTTGAACTTTTCAAAAAATAAATTTTTTAGAAATTAAATTGCAATTGCTTTGTAATTAAATTCTCTAACAAAAGTTGGAGAGTTTAAATTCGTGCTGTATGCAAAATGCATCGTTTTCTATTTCCTTGAAAGAGGATTTTGTTAGTTCTCGAAAAATTAGAATTTGGTGCTTAGAAACTTGGATTTCTTTGAGGACTCCACTATTTTCAGATTGTTGCTGTTGTACTATGCTGTTTGTCAATACAAACAAGCCTGTTTTAAGGCAAAGGAATGCGCTTTTTCTCGTTTTCCAGTTGCGCCATCTATGGCCAAGAAATCGATTTCTGCTACACACATACGTCACTGCCCGTTTTACAGGGAGGACACATTCACATACCATCCATTTATCCGCAGATCGTAATTTTGACCTGAACCAGAGCAATCTTCGATCCAGTAGCCCCAGAAGTATTGATTTGTATGGGAACTTTGAGGACTTTGACCCCGACAGATTTAGCGTGCAACAGTCGTTATTGTGCATACGATGAATTTTCGGCCGGCGGGGATCGGGGCTATTTTCAGGTATAATAAAGATACAAAAATAACTAAAATATCCTGCAAAAACCTCTATTATTTTCTGGTAAAAAAAAGATATACAAATTATTTTAAAAAATGCTCATCAAATAGTGATTTTAGGAAATCCACCTCCCCCCTTCCCAAAAGAAATATTCAATTCTTATTTTAGTTTAACAGGTCATAAATGTGACTAATATCTATAATAAAATATCTATAATATGTATATAAAGAAAAAGATCCCTTCTTTCTTCCCCAAAATAGCTATGGCAATTTGTCCCCTTTGCAACTCTTCAGAGGGGCACCCCTACACTTGCGGTTTTTTTAATCTTCGGCAAAATTTAAGTTTGTTTGTTTCCAGAGGCTGAGTTTTAATGTTCGATTGCCATTTGTGTTCGAACACATTTCGATTGCGATTTTCTTGCATTTATGCCTTCGATCTGCTGTATTAGTTCTAAGAATTTATTCTTAGCTATTTTGTTTGAACATAACATCTGTGCTTTCAGCTTTTATGCTAATGTATAAAATTATGCTAATGCATAGTTATTCTAAAGTAAAACGTTATGCTGTAAGTCGTTGACCTGTCTTTTTTTGTGTGTGATTTAATAGAAGTAAAATTCACAAGTTAATTATAAAAACTGTAATCATTAGGTAAAAATTATGTGTTGCATTTATTGATTTATGTAGCAGGGTTAGCTTTTTGACAAGACGTGCATCAGAAACTGGTTGAGTGAAACAGTCGTAAACTGCCAAAAAAAAATTTAAATAAATTAAATAAAAAAATTAAGTAAATCTTAATCAAAACTAAGTGAATCATTAAAAAATATTATACACTTAAGAATTTCTTAAGCACTTTTGTAGAGAGCCTTATGAAATAATGTAAAAATTGATACTTTCTAATTTTCAAAATATGTTTGTTAGATGTTTTTATTTATTTTTCTATTTAAAAAAAAAGAAGTTAAATGCAGTTGAAATAAATTATAAAGTTGTTTAAACTTGGTCATAAAACGTATGCACCTTTAAATAAAAACTGAGAGGTGGTATAACTAATTTTCAAGCGTAAGAGTTGGGAGCTAGAGATACAAATATTTCTATCAATATTAACATCCCCGTAAAAGGTAAAATGAATAATAAAAAATTTTAAAATTTTTTGGTGCAGCATATGAATTCAAAAAAATAAATAAATAAGCTACATCAAATTAAAGGCTTAAAAAATGATACTTATGCTTCGGAGAAAGAAAAAAGAAAAGAAAAAAAATAACAAATTTAAAAGTCGAAAAATTCCGACATTATTTTTTTACTCGTTAAAAAATTGCTTAATCTTGGGGTAATTGTGAGTAAAAAATTATTGTTTGTCAATATAAAAATTTACTGTTATGTAAGTATCGTCTTAGTAATTATCTTAAGCAACCATTTTTCTCTGAATTGAACAAATTTTAATTTTGTATCTTAGTTTTTTAAGCAAATAGTTTAAAATCGAACTAGATTTTATTTTTAAAAAACGAAAGAAAATTTCTCACAAAAAAGGGAATTAATAAATATCGTGAATAGCAATATGGTTGCCTTATTTTTAAAATTGCCTGTGTATCTAACTTCAGTGAAATATTAACTTCTTGTAATTAAGTTATTAAGAATTAGTTAAAATATAATTAATGTGTGCACGATACGGAATTCCTTTTCATTCGGTTTATAATGTGTTTTAACTAGAATTGAGTCGATTTCAGGATTTTCTGGAATCCGGTGAAAAAGAATCGATAATATCCTGGAATGCGAAGATAAATAAAAGTAGAAAGGGAATGGAGAATGAGATTAAAAGTCGGTAATTTGTTTTGCGAACACTTATGCGTAACCTGGGGAAAATTAAAGATGGGATTCGTTAATTTTTATTTCTTTAAAAAAAAGTCCTTTTTTTTAATCTATTTTAATATTGAATTTCATATCTTTGATCATTTAAAACCTTTTAATTTGTATTAATTAATAAAATTTTATTCTTTCCTTTAATTCAAGTGCTTGAAAAAAATTATATTTCAATTGATTTTGTTAATACATTTTGAACAATTGAAAAGTGTTAAAAAAATTTTTTACATATTAATGCATGTACATAAAAACATAGTTTTAAATAAAACCTTAATAATTCGAAGTTTTTTTTTACTGAGCTTGAATTTCATGTACAAATTAATGTTGAATTCAGGTTTACCAATGCTAATTTTAATTATAATTTTTTTCATTACAATTAATTAAGTAGTTCTTTTTTATAACGAAGCGTACTTATTGTTTGAGAAAAATTCTTTTGAATAGTTCTGTCTAAATTAAAAAAAGATAAAAATACAAAATTATTTTTTTAAAAAGCAAATGAGTATATATTTTTTCAAGCAGTATATTTAAATTTTATTGTGAACTGAATTTTCTTTTTGATCATTTATCGTATTATTATCAAACAAAAAAGACTGCCATCAAAAATAGAGTTACAATAATGCTTGCGGATATAATCATAGCTGAAAATATCGCGCTATGAATTTATTACTAGCACTTTGATCTTTTTCTAAAACATAGGTATTGGCTTATATGGTCATTTTTTTTCTTTTTCTTTTTTTTTTTCGTCATAAAATATTACGTGATAAAATCCGCTGCCTACAATCTTCTTATCCTTAAATAAATAACAAGACCACAAAAATATTTTATTTGTGACATCATTTTTCGATTATTTTCAAAGTATTAAACTAATCTCACTAAAATGATTGTTTTTATTTTTTCAACATATAGAAATTCCATCATTTTTATCAAACAATGTGATTTGCTTTAGTATCAGATAGCTGCTACATCATTGTAAGCGAAAATTGAATGACGTAAAACGTTTGAATATAATGATAGCTCACCTGTTTTACTAACAATGATCTCTTATTTGCTCTGCTGGATTTGGCGTGAAAATGACTCTTTTCACTGAAATTTGGCGTCCTTTATCATATTGATCGGAAGAAATTGTCGATTTCGAAAACAGCAGCCCTAGAAGTTTTTCATCCCGAAGGTTTGAATGAGAGTGTGTTTGTGTTCAGGGGCATTTAACGTTATTGACCAATTCTGGAAAACGTTTGAGAAACGTTTAATTCATGTTAAATTATAACATTTGGATGTTTCATTTTTCTATTCTGGCTAGAACGAAGGCGTAGAAGAGTTTTTCTAAACAACTGCCTTAATTCCTAGTTTTTTGTGTTTGCCGCAAAGATTTTTTTATCCACGGTGGAGTCCCCGAATAAGCTAGATGTTCAAGTCAAGCAGTATAAAAAGATGAAGAAACGTAAAGAGCTGGATGCTCTTGTTTCTAATGGGAAACTTACCCATAAAAGAATAAATTGCATCAAAAATGGTTCAGGTTCATGTTCAGCTCATGAGCTACTGCGACATGATACCGATTCATCGGACATGGAGGATTTCTCCATACTGCAGCCCCGGCGAAAGGGTCGGAAAAAGTAAGGTTTTGGTTTTGTTTTGGAATTGGTTAGACATGATAGTTTCTTTACCGCTATGGAAAAATATATACGTCGGGATTTTTACGTCTATTTTTCTTTATTAAAATTATAATATCTATTTTAATTTGATATCCTTATTTAAAATTTTTATATTCGGAAATTACTGATTTATTTTATTTAGAAATCAATAAAATAAAAATTGATCTCATAGCTATTTATTACTGATAATTTATTAAAGTTAGGTTTTGTTTTGGTATTTGATATGCATGACAGTAACTATTAATATGAGTTTGTACCAAATAAAAAAAAAATTATGTCTTTTTTTTTTCATCTTTATTTTGTTTATATCGAGTTATGCTTTTTTTTTTTTTTTTTTTTTTTTNTTTGTTTTTTTTTTTTTTTTTTTTCATTTTAAATATTTTTTTATTTTAAATTTTATTTAAAATGGCTAATAAGAGAAATTATTGATTTATTTTGAACAAAAAACAGTAAAATTATATTTTTATTATATTTTTTAACATTGATAAACAACTTTTTATTTATTTTATCTTTTAATTTATAAAGTACTCTTTCCTGTCCTAGTTTTTGTCGAAATTGAAAGTCACATTTTAATGAGAACTTATTAACTAATACTGGCTGGAGTTATTAAATTTAATTGGATTCTTAAAATAACAGTAAATTTTAGCAGTTATTCATAATAATTTTTATAAATAATTTACATTATGTAATCAAGTTTTTATAAATAATTTACATTATGTAATCAAGTTCTTAATTAATAAAGACAAATTCAAACTTCTGTAACTTTTATCTATTAGTGATTTTTATCAAAATGCAAAAATGAAATTAACTTAACATATTTTATTAAGTGTCTCTATGAATATTTTTATACTTATATTGCAAAATGATTCAGTATAGAATAATGTAATGAATAAAAAAGCCTAATTTTATAACAGCTAAATTTAATTGATGTAAAAAATAAAACATATAATGATGTGATAATTCGTTAATCATTATTAAGCTTCCCAAAAAGCCTGCACTAGTGATGAATATTCATAATTTTTTGTGAGTGATTACTGTGCGTCTGTTAATTAGGGAGAAATTCATAACAACATATAACTTATTTTCAAATTTTCGATAATACTTCTACCGTGACATTCCTTGTAGAAAGGTTATTTTCAATAAATATAGGCATTCTATTTTATTTGAGTGTCTTATTATTTAACTTTAGCATTGTTGCTTATGAACTATCTGTGTGTCTTAAAAGTTTCAAGTATCAGAATAGTTTTTAGCATGTGACATAAAAAACAATGTGCTTTAAAAAAATTAGGGGAGATTTCCGTATTGTGATTTGTGGCAGAATAATCGCCAAGTCTTGGAAACTTCCGGGCAGTGGCCCGCAAGAAACTTTAAAAAAAAATCACAGAAAGGGACCAACTCCAAAGGTATAACTCACACCCACCTCCGGGCAAACATCTACATGTTTGTTTTTTTTTAATTGCAAGTTTAAATTCTATTTGGCACCTTGGTGATCGTAGTTGGTGCGACAGATTTAGATGTGGAAATATCCCCAAAATTACTCGATTGAGAATAGGAAAGAGACATTATAAAATTCAATACGTTATAATACAAACAAAAAGATACATATAGAAAAGATACATTATGAATTAAAAGAGATAAATTTGATGTTCACAATAGGCAATCCAAGTAAAACATAAACAAAAACAATGCTCTTCTGTATATAATGAAAATTTAATATTTAAAAACTTATAGTATGTATAATAAGTCTTAATTTTACAATTAAGCAAATTATTTTGCCCATTTTAAGTGGTGTTTCCCTCTTTAGACATGGAAATCATTTGTGTATCACATCAGTATGCCTGTCTTTATGCCAGTTCATCTTGGTTACGTCGAGTGTTTTAATATCTGGGGCGCTAATATATATGCATCTTGGTTTGAGAGAAGATATAGATTTACTACGAGCTCATCTGCAGAAAGGTAATCTTGTCCCATAAATAACTACTTTCAATGACACCAAAGAGTTTTTTTTTTTTAAGTGTCTAAATCTGTTGCTGGAACTGTTTGCGTTTTTTTATATTATTGTTTTTAATGATTTGCATACCAGGTTTTGTAAAGCTCTTACTATTTGCTATCTCCACCCAAAATTTTAAAAAAATTATAATACTTCTATTTTTCTTTATGGATTCTAAATATCAGTTTTAGAAATAATTGTTTTTTCTTCTAAAGACTGTAATGTTAACGCAGTTGTTATAGTTGTTTTCCAAATTTTAAATAACAGAAGAAGAAACTTAGACTGTAATGAAAGATTAAGATAAAACTTATTACAGCTAGAGAAGAGCTACATGAAATTTAGTTAGTTTGATGTACTTTGTAAAATTTAGCTCAGCAACAGAAAAAGTGCAACATACCTATATTTTTTATAACAAATTTATTTCCTTCCTTAATGGGGCAAAATTAACAATTATGTGAGGTTAGGACACAAATTGTGATCTATAGACTCAATTGGTGCCCTAATTTGTGAATGTATCGCTTGCGATGTATCTTATAATCCTGATGATTATTTAATATATGAATCGTCAATGTTTGCAATTGCAATGTTTGAATAACTTTTATTTCAGACTTAATTGATGCTTGCACAAACAGAATCTTATGTTTGGTATTTTACAAAATTTCAATATTTAGTAAAAAATAAGCAACTATATTATTACAATGACATTATTAGTTGGAAATTATACAAAAAGAAATTTTGTTATGTCTTTCCGACTATATTGCTACATAAAGGTTTAAAAAAACTTATCTTTTATTATGTTAAATTTTGATATTATATTTAAGTAAATGAGTTTTATAACTGAAATAAATTTTTAATTTCTTATATTTGCTCTGAAAATGTAACAACAAATATAAAATTTGAAGGGGCCTATAGATATAACCATTCACTCTTTGCCTAATAAAATAACATTTTCCCTAATTGTTTATGACAAAAGTTAATGTGTTGAGAAAATCATGCATCTGTTATATACTCATGTATATCACTCATATTACACTGGTTAATGGGTGTATTTTTATTAGGTGCTCCAATCTTTTTCCTTTGTCCTATCCTTTTACAAAAAGAACTCAACGTGTATTAGTTTATTTGTACTACTTGCTTTTTTATTATTATTATTACATACTCTTTATATCATATACTCTTTGTTCATAAAAAGACTATATTTTTGTCTAAAGTCTAACTAACATGTTAAATAAATAATCCCAAGAGATTGAAGATGAAAGATATTACTCGATTAAGAAACTTCATTGGCTTCAAAAATATCTCAATAAAATATGGAAATAAAAGTTCATGTTTCAAGCACGCAAAAATAGGTGCTCATTCAGAAGACTTGAATAAATACAAAAGTAGTGTGAAATATTAAACATAAATTTGCCATCAACAAATTAAAAATTAAGGTAAGAATAAAAATTTGAAAAACAGCAGTAGCCGAGAGTGAAACAAAAATAAAGATGAGAAAACAGAACAAGAAAAACCATAATAGCCAAGAGGGGAAAATGTTCTACTCCAGTCATATCAACTCATCTTGATGCCCTAGAATCATTTTTTCATTTATATGAATGTTGATTCCCTTGTTAATAACATTAGTTCCTCTCCACCTCTCCATAACATGTGGAAATGCATTTTACCCTGATTCACCATTCTCAGCCACAGTGTGTTTTCTCTTTTTATTTTTTCATCTTTATTTTTGTTTCACTGGACCACTATGTTTTTTTTTTTTTTTTTTAAATTTTGATATTCACCTTTATTTTTCGTTGCCATTTTTACATTTTATATATCAAATCACTCAATCACTTTTATATATCAAATCACTTAACATCGAGTTAACACCTGGCAAGTCTTGAGAATGGACATCTATTTATGAGTGTTTGAGGCATTTAGAATTTTTTTTCCATCTGGATATTTTTGTAGCCAGTGAAGTTTTTTAATCAAGTAACATAATGTTATTTATCATTTGAATGCAAAAGAAGTTATGTGACCTACACTAAACCTTCTGTTTTTTCTTTGAAGAGTTAACATAAAATTCTAAAACATCATTAAGTCAGAAAGTATATGTTTTATTCTTTTTTAAAATATGTACTAAATTCTTTTTTTAATTCTTTTAAAAATGTTATTCATTTCATTTTAAAGGTGTCATGTTACTCTATGATAAGATAAATAAAATCAAAACTTATTGACTAAAGCTCTATTTTATCTGTGTTTATTAAATAAAAAGTGTGCTAAATGCATTATCTAATATTGTTTTAACCTAATAACAGCAAATTAGTACTTCCTATTTTAACTTTAATTTTGACATATTTAATGTTTGAAGATGTGGTTGATAAAAAAGCATTTTTGTTTTTGATACAACATGGCTACATTTTTTCTCTCAACTTTAAGAAATAAAATCTATAAAAATGCTAAGTCTTGTTAAATTATCAGCAATAACTGAAAATGATTTGTTTATAAGTTTTAGTTTATTTTAATGTTCACAATTTTCATGATGTATTAAAACTTATTTGACGAAATTTATGCATTAAATTATAATTTATCTGAGTAGTGTATTTGAAGGTCCCTTTAATTAAAGATTGATTCAATTGCAATTTGATTCTTTGTTTCTATTCTGAATGAGGGTATATTCAATTATTTTTCCACTAATTAAATTATTTTATTTTTTTTATTTCTTATCTATGGTGTGCAGCATTTTTGAAAAGTGCTTAAAGGTGCTTATTTTTGATTTTTAAAAGCCCTTATAAGTGCTTTTTATTGAGTGTTTTTTAAAAAGTACTTAATAAGACTTAGTGCAAAAATAAGACTTTTTTCTTTACCATGTCGATTTTCGCCTCATATTATGCAAAAGTGTGGATTCCACATTGCTCTATTCAACGTTTTTACAATTCATTCAAACACAATGCATTTCCGCATACCTTTAGTCCGTGGCTTATGCAAGCGCCAATCATTTTACATGTTTGTTAAAATACTTGCGGGTCCGCATTTTCGTTTACTGAGCTAGATTCGGTGAGATTCTTACCCTCTCAAGTGCAGCTATGTTGCATTTAGCAAGATACTCAAATTCAGGCTTCATTTTCCACCTTCTGAAATCGAACCAAAAATCTCTCGATCTTTTTGTGGTGGCTAATATAGTCAGGAAAAGAGTTCTATATCAGAAACTAGTTATTTTATCATTATTATATAAAGTTTTTGTAAACTAATTTGTTAATGTATATAGTGCTTAAATATCCTCTTTTAGTGCTTGAAAAGTACTTATTTCTTGTTTAAAAATTTGGCTATGCATCCTGTTATAGTAGCCTCATAAATGTGTTGTTATATAATAAATTTTAACTTAAGAGTTGCAGAGGTAGATAATGTAAATAGTTTGTAGATAAGTAGTTAGTTATAGTAGATAATTTAACTACTTTTATTTATGCAGAAATTATATAATTTAGAAATACTAGTGTTGAAAGTTGTTTTCTAACTGAAGCATTTTTTATGTAATCTGTTTTGTTTGACCTTAAATAAAACTAAAGGAAAAGAAAATTTGTCTATGTAGTATAATTTTTAATTCTTTTTTTTTTTTAATAAATTCATCATGTCAAATATTCAACATAAAATAATAATATTAGCTGGATTTTTTTCTTCTTTTATTTGCTAGTTTAACTACATTTATAAATTTTGATTTATGTTAGGTATGTGCTGAATGTTTTATATCCATAAATATTTTGAATTTACAAGTAAGGAAAATGACCTCTTTAAGTATTTTTTAATACTAAAATCGTTTAAAAATATATATTTTCTTTTTTAGCTTAGTGATATCTACTGATATTAAAATACAGATTCAAATAAATTTCTTTCCAGAAATCTGATAAATTTTATATCATATTCAAATGTTCCATGTCTTGAAAGAAATCTTAATATACTTTCATTTTTCCTCTTGCCACTAAATTGCCACCAATTTTTTATTCTGTACTATTTTATTGCAATCTGCTAGTTGTTGTATATTTACATATTTTTTGTACTTTTGAAAAAGTAATGTTTTATTGAGAAATTTTTTTTCTCTCTAAATATGAAATGGTGTTGCATTTTTAGTAAAAACTTGTCTAATTAAATCACTATTCAACTAAAATATGCTAATTTTCTTCACATAAAAAAGTTACCCGGCCCAATTTTTCGACAAGTGCTGGAATTTTTCCTATGCTGACCTTTTAAAAGTGTATTTTTTACTTTTAAACTTCTCATGATAACTTTATCTCTCTATGTCAAAATTTTTGTCCTAATTAATAACTTTTATTGAGCAAAATTTTCCCTGGTTTTCTTTGCATTAAAAATGTGTTTATTGGCAATGTTAATTTTCTGGTAAAAATATAATTGTATTGTTTTTGTGTGATATTTTGTATACGATTTTGAATGTTTTCAAATTGAAAATTTTCTTCAAGATTACTCTGCAGAACTGATTTTTTTTTCAAGATTTATTTGTAGGCACTGAATTCCTCTGTTTTAAAAAATACATTGAAACTACAGACACTAGTTTCTCTTTATTTTTTTAATTAGTAATAATTGTAATATTGAGATAAGGTTTTTAAAAAAAAGAGTATTAGTAGCTGTATTCACATTTTTTTTTAAAAATTTAATTGATGCAATTGGTAAACTTGATATTTTCCTATTATAATTTTGCCTTTATATCATTGGTATTAATTTTTATCAAACATCCTATAAGAATGTGGTTGATTAATATCATAAATTCAAAGCCACCAACACCTTTCTACTTAAATTTCATGTATTATATACTTAATTTTGTTTCTTGCTTTTTTCAAAAGAAACTCTTATCTTCTACATAATTATTTCTATATTCTCTCAAAAATTTTATTTAATATCAGTGTTTTTATGTTTTCAAATGACCGTAAAATAAAAGTCCATTATAATACCAGATGAAATTGTCTTATAGCAAATTTGTGGTTAGAAGTAAATATCCATATTTAATATTAAAGTAACAATAACAATGCTAAAAAAGTAAAATAGATGCGATGTAATTACAGCTTATTTTGACCAACTATTTTGATTTAAAATACATATCTAGATTAGTAAATTGCTTTTATTGTAGACTTAGTATGTTAATGAAAGGCAGAAATTTGTATAACAATATTGTTTAAACTACAAGCTTCTGCAGGAAGAAAATGAAGTGCAGTTCCTTTGACATCATTGATAATAGTGTATGATGATTCTAAATGTAAGTTGTCATGTAGGGAAATATGTAGTCAACATATTTCCCTTTCCATGATAGGTATGTGGTCAACATTTTCAAGTGCACAACAAGATTTCTTAATATAGCAGAACTTACCTTGGTAAAAGGTGGTTGCTCAAACATTGCTTTATAAAATGAAGGTAAAATTTTAAAGCAAACACTTTTCTGTATTGATAACAGAAATAAATAACAATGTTTTCCATTTAGACCTTTTTCGTAATATTGATAATCCGAATTGCAAAAAAATTTATTACCCTTAAAAAAAATTTATTTTTTTTAACTTGTCGTAAACGTACAATTTTTGCATCTCTAATATTACCATTTTGACATTGACTTAGAAATTTGTAGTGTCATACTCTTTATATCAATTTTTTGCTCAATTATATTTTCAGTTTTTACCTTTTAGGTGAATTAAAACATAGATAAAATAAAAATATCAGTGAAACTAATATCCTTTCTTCTTCTAGTTGAAGCTGGTAATAAAAATACACCTGAAGCTTTGCATGTTATACATTCCAGTTTAAAGCAGCTTGATTCCAATGTTTCTGTACTTTACATAGATGTGAGAAAAAATATTGCTGATATTGAAAACATAACTTCTGAGGTAAAAAAAAAAAAAACTTCAATATCGTTAATTTGAATTGTTATTTTATTTGTTGAGCTGATATGTAATTTTTCAATATTTTTTTAGTGGAAAAGTTTGTCTTATATAAGTTGACACTGCTGTACTGATGTAAACATTTGTTTGAGAACTCTTTAGCACTATTTTTAAATATTTTATACTAATATCATGTAACATGTCTGCTTCCAAGCATTAAACTTGCAAATTTATATTAAAAAAATTTCATTGATAAACCTTTTTTCAAACATTTAACGTGGCAAAAAAAAAAAATTTAGTGAAAAGTAATTTGAGTAAAATGCAAAAGGTCTAGTGTTTAATGCTGTGAAAATTAACTAAATTTTGCTCTATAATTAAAAAAAATATATATATATTACCAAATTCATTCCATATGAGTTGTAATAAATCCTAATTTTAAATGTGTAATTAGTTAGTCACTATCTATGAAATAAATATAACAAAAATACCTCATGCTGTTGAAATATTTATTTGCATAGCAAGCATCATTAGCAAAATTTATGTTATGAGAAAAGCATTTCTTCCTATTATCTCTGTCAATGAATATATTTTGATTTTAGAGGACTTTATAAAAGTCACGATCATCCTCTCTGCAGAGGATCGAACTTGTGATGGCATGTCTTCGAATCATCCTCAGGGATGTTTCTCTGAGCCTTAGCCCATTAGCAATAGCTCATTATGCAGTTCTAGTCCATCCTAAATAAAGTACCTACCAGTGTGACAGAATTTTTTCAGACTTTCTGCGAGATACTTTTAATAATAACAAATATACATGTTACTAATTTAAAGTAACAAAAGCATAAACGTCAACAAAAAAACAATTCAGATAAAGCAAGATAATTTTTTTAATTGAATGTGTAATATTTTTTTAAGAATTTTAATAATGGCCGATATTCTCACATTGTGTAAGGGGAAAACACGCTAATTATTTTCTTTTTCGCATTTTGTCTATCATCATTACATTAGAAAAAATTGTGCAATCCGTAGCAGTAGCTACCGAAAAAAAGAAGATCAAGGGTGAAATTACGCGAATTGTACTCTTCCAAAAAGGAGTTACTGAATTAGTGTTTTCATTTCAAAATTCAGTTGTTGTAATAAATAATATCGTATTAAAAATATAGGATTTGAACTATGTGGAAATCAAAGTAATGATTGCATAAAAATAGAAAGATCACAATCGAGTCCTTTTATTTTTTAACCCAGTTTGTATATACCTTCTTTTTTTCTGAATGTTATGTATTTTACTTTACCAAAAAAGTAATACTAAATGTATCAAAATTAAATACTTTAGTACTATGTATCTAGTTAACCTTTTGATTCCATTAAATATACTGGAGGTTAAACTTTCTGTTCGCTACTGCTCACCAACCTGTATAATTGTTGTTTCTTTGCATAAAGCAGTCTGATTATGCTTGTGACCCACTTCCCATATCCAAACATTTCCCTTATGATTTAAGAGTGAACATATTTTGCTTAGTAATCATTTTTTTGTATTTAAAATTGTTATAAAGGCACATTGTTACAACAAAAGTGCTGAGTTCACTACCATGATTTAATATTTTTGGTTATTAAAAAGGCTGATATTATGTTTAAATACAATTTGTTCGTACATCACATTATGACTGAGGTTGTTTGTTAAGTTCTGAATTATTTAATGAATCTCTTTAATGATAATTTATTATAATAGATTAATGTAATTAACGCCAAATAAAATTTATTCTAAAAGACATAAGACACCAATTAAAATCAGTTTATCTTGAAATGTAGTGTAATAAAGTAATATTAGAATAACATTATAATAAAAAAAACAACTCTTTTACTTTTTAACTCTAAATTTAAAAATCCATTGAAATCAGGAATGTAATAATAGGAAAATAAAATATGAGAAACAAATATTTTAGGTTAATACTTCCAAATTTATTTACCTGTACCAACATAAGAAAATATTTTAAAGGTAATATATCAGTATGATTTTAATTAATTTTATGCTGATGATTACCCAAAAAAATAAGAAAAATAATATGAGAAAACAGGATCCTACCATTAGGGTCTCCACTATGTTATTATTCCTTGCTTGAATCAGGGCAAAGCGACTATGACTATTAATTTTACCAAAAAAAAACAGCTAAAAAATGACTATTTTCAGAAAACACTACTAATTTTATAATAATTTTCTTTTTCATTTTCTACTAATTTTTCTTTTGTTATGTTTTTTTGACCTTACGTTTTCATTTTATTGATGTTTTAATATTTTTTATAATTGTTTAAAGGTCAAGCATCTGAAAGAAGTTGCAAGTAGTTTGCGAGAAAGTATTGCAGCTGCTCCTGCCATTCAACAATTGCCAAAAGATATGCATGCTTTATCAGAGGTATTTTTAGCTATTCTGACAATTTTTAATTCTTCAAAAATTGCTTTTTACAATTTCTGCACATTGCATCAATCCCCTAAAAAAAATTATCTTTAATTTATATTTGTTTTCTACTTGAATATGCTTTATTGAGAATGCAGTTTTAATGCCTTATAAAATAGTTCTATTGATAAAAATATACTAATGTGACTATATACTGTCTTGAGTTTTCAGTCAAGTATTTCTATTTTATGTTGATTTACTTCTTTCTTTTTGTACCAACAAAAGAAAACTCGATTTCTAAAATTCTGAACAAAATTATGCTGAAAAATGATATTAATGCCATTATAAATTATTGTACTAATTGGTATAGTTTGAATGTATATGTCATGTACTTTCTAATTTTTTTGAATTAATATGAAAAAAAATTGTGTCTGTTAATGTATTAATGTACTAAAACAATTTCATTTCATTCTACTGTTAAAATATGTTGTAATATTCCTGAATTTTCTCTTTAAGTATTTGACTTTGAAATTAACTTACAAAAATAAATAGTATGCAAAAGAATATTATTATTTAAAATAATAATTATACAAAATAAATAAGTTTATTTATTCTCAAAAATACAACTCATTTCTGCTGCTTATGATAACTCAATTTTTAAAAACTATTAGCTTCCAGCTTTAAAAAGTGTAATTTCTGTTGGTGTTGCTTCTTCGTAGTTTTATTGTACCATGAGTACTCAAAATGTGTCATCTCTCTTTGAAAATAACCTTAATGTACAGTATCTGATGAAATGATATTTTTATTCATTTAGAATGATCTAAAAATTCTAATTCTGCAACTGGAAATTAGAATTGTTATAATTGAAGCACAAAAATCATTACTAGTGTGATGAAACTAAATCACTAAGTAACATTTCTATTTCTATCAATGATTTTCCGACCTCATTGATGTGCATTAACTCCTCATTAAATCTGCAGTGTTTAACAAAGACCCTAAAAATTAGTTTAGAAAGCACTGTACCTTATATTAGAATTTATGGGCATCTTTGAAAGAATTATTCATACAGGAAATTGTAAAAAACGTTTGGTGGAAGATAGTTTCACACCTAATATACCTGAAACACCTAAAGTAGGGGTGCAATATCTTTTTAAGTGAAGGGCCACTTGAACAGCAGGTTGACCAATTTGCTTGTCCAAGTATTTAGACAGATATTAGCAATTATAGTATTTTTTATATGAAAACATCAGTTAACTCTATAAAATTAAATTATTTTAAGCATTAGACTTCAATTAAAATTAAACAAAATGAATAAAAACACTGGAAAAAGTTCCGGCTATTTTATCACATTTTTTAATGAAAAAGTCCATTTAAAAGTAATTCAATTAAGTAATATTCTACTAAATAAATTAAATGCTTTAATTAAAAGTTTTAAGGTTTAAAATTATTTGAATTAAAACAAAACCGTTATAATGCAAAATAAGGTCATTATATAATCGGGAATATACTTCAAGTTTGAGAAATTTATGCTAAATAAATTATAAAAGATTTTACAAATCTTAAATATGTTTTTAATTCTTTTTAAGCTTAAAAAAATTGAAAAAGACAATTAAAAAATAGCAGTTAAAAATGCATGTATAACAGTTAAATAATAAACAGTGAAAATGCATGTATCTAGAATTTTGTAAAATGTATTAATGTTGTGTTAAGCTATAATGATTTTCAAAACCACATGGGAAAACATAGCAATAACTGCTAAAAATAGGATCAAAAAGTCACTTGTTTTTCCTATAAAGTAGGCACAAATAAAAAGTAATGAAGAAATGTGAAGGAGTAGTTATCTAAATTCGCATTTCGGAATTCAAGTGTCGTAATAATAGCACATTTAAAAAATGGGGACTTTCAAAACCATGTAGAAATGTTTTGCAATTACTGTCAAAATAACTGTTGAAAAATAATTTGGATTTGTGATAAAACAAGCACAAATAAAGAATGTCAAAAAATCATTACCTAAATGCGTAGTTCTAAACTCCCAAGTTGTAATAACACCATGCTAAAAATATCAAAATTTTTAAAGCCAGGCAAAAATGTGCACCAATCACCTCTGAAAAAACTATTAACGGTCATTAAGATTTGCAATGAAGTTTGCACTAATGAAACTCATCAAAAAGCATTTACTTAAATGCACATTTTTAAACTCGAAAGACATTGTCAGGTGTTTAAAAAAACAATGTATTATTAAAATCCGCAGGGATAACTATAGCAATACTAGCTGCTGAAAAACAATTGAAGAGTCTCTTGGATTTACAATGAAACTTGCACCCATAAAAGTGATTTACAATCTTCGAAATTCGCATATCTTAATGATGTCCTTATAAAAATATTAGATTTTTAGAACTTTCTGAAAATCCCTAACATTAACGGCAAAAAAAGCAATTGGAAAATTATATTGATTTAAGATGGAATAAGCTCAAACTGGACAAAACTTACATGTGCAATTCAAAATTCTCAGATTTTTTTTTCTCAAAAATGTTTTTATTTTTTATATTTTCTTGGGCTGCAGATCAAGAGGTAGTGCACCCCTAGTTTAAAGTTATTTTTTATATCTATTTTAAGAAAGGTAATACAGGAACTTATTGAATAAAATTTTTAATTGATGTATTTATTTATTTTTAAAAAAAATTGTACTATCATTTATGTGAAAAATACAGTAATTTCTGTTTTTTGAAAAGTACTGTAAATAATCATTTATTTTATTCTTAGAGTGTTGCTAACTTTGGAAGTAAAATGACAGCTCTAGAAAGCAATGTGAAAGAGCTCAAAGATCAACAATCTAATCTACAAACAACAGCTCAAAATCTCTCAGGAGAATTAGATGTTGTAAAAGTAAGAGGTTATTCAATTATTGTCTTTCAAATTTAAATGTCTCTTACTCATTTATTGTATTGACCAATATTTTTACAAGTTTCTTGTCTAATAGCTTAATAATAGTTAAAATCGTGATTATTTAGCATCCAGAAGAGACTGCAGATTTATTGGAAAATCAAAATCCATGGATTATCTTGGTTGTCTTTTAGATAAACTTTCTAAAAGATCAAGCTTTATACTCTTAATTAAATTATTAAAAATAAATGCATTATTGCAATCATAAAATGACAGTTTATATCATGTTTGTATAGAAACATAAAAAAATAGTGTGATAATTCAAATAAAATAACAAATATAACAGTGCTAAAACAATATAAAGTGATGAATCTGACAGTGATCTATATAATCTATATAAAATAAGAAATCTGACAGTGCAGTGTTTAAAAAAAAAAATTCAGAGATATGTGAATGATTTAACAAAGTTACTTTTGTTATGCTGCATAGGTATTTACAGCTGATCATCATGATTTGCTTTTGTACTTTTCCGAACCATACTTTATGAATCACAATTAAATTATGGGATAATGTATTTTTATTGAATTCAGAGGAAAATATCATAATTTATATTCATATGATATACTATTACTAATTATGAAGAAATGTGATATAGATTTTTAAAAAATATTAAGATGGCAAGTCAGATTATCGTGTCAGATTATCAGAATTATACTTCTTCTTTTCCAGCTCAAAAGCCTTTCTCTACAATAAAGTTCCATGTTTCTCCAGTTTTTCATTTTTTTTCTGGTCTCCTCATTATTCTCCTCTTATGTCTTCCTCAACCTGATTCAGCTGTCTTGACTTCGATCTTCCTTTCATGATTTTCTAAGGCATATCTATTTCCTTCATACCTTTGTCATGCCTTATCCACTATAATCTTTTAGCTTTGATAAATCTTATGATGTTTTTCCTTTTTATTTTTTCTATTTCATGGGTGTATTTTTTTCTCCATGTGTTATTTTAACTAATGGTTTGACTTCATTAATTCTTCTAATTATACTAGGTATGTTCAAAATTTCCTAATATATTTTAATATTGTTGAATAAAGCCCAGGTTTCGGACCCATATGTTACTATTGGTCTTTTTAGGGTTTTATATATTATACATTTTCTCAAAATTAATTTCCTTTTTAATAATCATTATTTGCAAATATTGTTTTATTTCCATTTTGTGTCTGTTTATTATGCAGTCAAGAATTTAACATTTAGTGACCATGATAAGTAAAGGTACTTGTACCCTTAAAATTCTTATCAATTTTTAGACCTTGTATTTGTACTTAATCTTCTGTTTTTGTCCCTATCATGAATTTTATTTTGGCTTCATTAATCTCTAGGCCTATTTCATTTGCTTTTCCTGTAATTTCTTTTATTTGTTCTATTAGTCTAATTTTTTTTTTTTTTTTTTTTTTTTTTTTTTTTTTTGCAGTAATTACTATATTGTGTGCATAGGCACAGATGACATTGTGAATATATTTCCTGGTTGTCGAACGATGTGATTCGCAAATGTAAGAAAGGTGATATTGAGCAGCATAGCTAATAGCGATTCACCTTGCTGAGCACATTTGTTAAACTCAAACAAAATTTTAGCTTTTCCACTTATATATAAGTCTGTGATGATAGAATTATAAAAAAAAATTCCTATATTTCAAGAGAAATGCAAAGATACTAAGACATATCTGCAGTATCTGTGAGCAATGCTCTCAACATTAATGATATTAAAAATTGCTAGAACCAGACTATTTATTAGACTATGTACAGGGTTCCCACGGTCCTTAAAAACTGCTTAACTTTTATTTTGGAAAATAAGGGCCCTTAAAAGTACTTAATTTTGGTAGAAGGTTTTTAAAGGTGCTTAATTTTTCAACATCACTATAGTTGATAAGAACAATTTTTTAGTTCATTGTTTTAATTCATATAGTCGTTCTTTTATCACCTAGAATTAGACCATGCACCGAGAGTAAAGCATTTTAGAGAGATTAGAGTGAGAGAGCTACAGGCAAAGAGAAGAAATCATGTCCTTTTATTAATGCATTGGTTCTTTCATTAATATATACTGCCTTTTGCCTAGAATGATACTCTATGAGAAGAGTGACATTCTAAAACAAGGGGAATACTGCACATGTAAGAGATAGTGCTTTTTTTTTGGGGGGGGGGAGTTCTAAGGTACTGAAGTGGAAAACCCTCACTGACCTTCAAAATTGACTGAATTCAAAAAATTCAGTTCTACTGGTAATGCATTTGCTCATAGGAACAAAGTAAAACCCTAAGAATCGAAGTATCCGGAAAAATTTTGAACTAGTATCCATAACGAAAACTATTTCCAAAATTCTTGAAAGAATTAAATAAATTTGCATAATATTTCAGTGTGTAATAAGTAACTGTAAATTAATAAAAAGCCGTAAAAATTTTTTAAACTCATGATTGCACTAAAAATTAAACAGATCTGTAATAAACAGGGTTTGAAAAATCCTATCCCACCTAGAATGCATGATTTGCTCCTAACAAGATAGTTAAATATTTGGTAACTATTTATAACTTGCGCTGCGATGTAATTTTTTTTTAAGTTGTAAATTACGTTAATGTTTTTATTTCTTAAGGATAGGCAGATTGTTACATAAAATTTTTTATCTATTCAATTAAAAGATCCCAAATTTTTTGATGTTAATGTCGATTAGAATAAAATTCAAACTTAGATTTTAATAATAGTTTTTCTCAGTTAATATTGTAACTTAATATGCTTTTTTTTTTTTTTTAATTTCTATTTCATTTTTGGTTGCTTTAAAAAATTTTCGTCAGATTGTTTAGTATTCCTAATATCAGTTAATATTATGTAAAGTTAATTCCTAATATCAGTTTTGGCTGTAAATAATTGTAAAGCTCATAAAAGTAAATATAACACATTTGCTGTTGAGTAATAATTTAAAAATAGTTACATACTGTTTTCAATATATTTTTTATAAAGTTTTGAATACATTTTTTCCAAAATTATTAATTCAGGAGAAAATTAAAATATCAAATGATTCTAATAGTAGAGAATAATATTAAGAATGATAGTGGATGATAAAGAAATATTGCAAGTAAATATCTATAAATGATAATAAAAAAAATTATTTATCAATATTTGTTAATTAAGTAACCTTACCAATTTTTTGGTCATAGGAATGTGTTGATACCTTTGGAAAATCATTTTAGACCCTTTCATTTATATGTTTCCCTCGAGAACTAATAAAGAAACATATATATTTGAAAATTATAAATCTTAAACATAATTGTATTTTTTTGTATAAAAATTTTCTTACAAATATTTATGGCAATGAATTTAAAAAGATATATATATATTAAGTTAAGCATAATTAAAAAAAAGTGGAGGGATTTCAGGTGATTAGATATTAGTATGACCCGTTTTTACTTGAAATAGGACTTCTCTCATGCATAACTCTAATTCAACTTCTTAGTGTTAATTTTTTTAATGTATACCCTTTTAAATGAAACATTTTGTTAATAGAAATGTTTTTTTTGGGCATAACTGAATATTTACCAAAATTCGCCAACAGTTGAATTTGTGATGCATGTCTGGTAGCTAAATATAAAACTTTATTTGCGAAATATATAGCTTTCTTTATTTCAAATTAATTTATTCCCTCTTTTTTTTAATATATGATTTTTTTTTATATTTAAATTTTTTAATTATGAATAAAAAAATGCAAATTTTGATATCTGCTCCTAATTTTACAATTCAATTTCAATGAAATGATTAAAAAGGGAATACAGATGTATATTCATAGATAGGATATTTCATAGATGTCGTTAATCCTTAACAATCTGAAAATGTTTTTAAAAAACCCGACAAGGTTTTCAAAAATAATAAGAACCGTCACTTTTGGTATATATTTATTCGATGATAAATAATTATACTATTTTTAAGGTCCTTAATTTTTCAAAAAAAAGTGCTTACTTTTTGCTTTGTTGAAAGAGTGGAAACTCTGATGTATGTTAAAATATTATTTCTCTAAAAAAGCAAGAATTCATAGTTTAAAGCTAAAATATTTTCATGAACACAAATCAATAAATGTTATATATATATGCTTAAACAAATATTTTTGTGTATGTTGCTGGTTATTTTTTTACTTATTCTACGAAGTATGGGATGAAGAGTTTATATGTGATTTTTGTAGAGTTTTAAAATTGGCTAATGTTTTTATTGTTCAATTTTATCTCTTTTAGGTTACAGTTCAAGAATTGTCTAATTCTTCTGAATCATCTTCAAAATCATCTGTAAATACATCAGGGAAAGATGCTAAAGTCCAGACTGCTATTCAACAAGCCAATCAACATATTGATTTCCTGCAAGGGGTAAGTTGAATTTTAAAAAAAATCTTACTTTTTTTGAAGCTAGAACTTTTAAACATCCGTGTGTCTCTACCTAGGTTCTGTAGAAAAAAATGTCTAATTTATGTAGGCCAATTAATGCTATATGTAATATGATGCCTCCTATTTTTCTATACACTTCATGTTCTGGGTAGATTAACGGCAGAGCTGCCTATTCACCTTCAAATCTTTGGCTAATGCATGAATTTTAAAAAATAATGTCATTAATTGAAAATTCGCTATACATTTTATGTACTCAGTTAGTAAAACGATACTAGCCCATAAATTGTTTATTTACGTCGCTTTCTGGCTTCCATAGAAGAATGTGTATTTTATTTATATATATCTTTTTTTTTTCTTATTTTGTTTAACAGGTATAAGCAAAATTCAAGTCAATATTTGATTAATTCCATCTTGTCACACTATTTGAAAAATAAAATTATATAATAAAAACATTTATATTTTGTTACTTCACGATATAAAAATTTATATTAGATGAAATAAATAAGCTATATTACAACAAATTATTAATTCAACGACTTCTCAAGAATAAATGAGGTCTAAATATTATGTGAACTTACAGAGACAGGTCATTATTAAGCAGAATTAAATTTCCCTCTAATTTACAATAGTGCTGGAACATAAGCATTTGTTTATGCTGAAATTAATTTTTACATTAATATTATATCAAGGAATCAAAAACTTATAATCCAATGAAAATTTCACCGAGTTTGCAGTCTAAAATTTATATTTTGAAACTTATGCTAAATCCTATTAAAGAGACATTTACATATAAATAATTCATGGTGCATAGCAATTTTAAAAAGTGCTTAACTGTGCTGATTTTAGATCTTCGTTTCTTAAAAGCCCTTAAAGGTGCTTCTTTCATGGTGTGTTTTTTAAAAAGTGCTTAATTTTCCCTTTTCCAAAATGATATATTTTTCTTTACCGTATTGGTTTTAATAGCAAATTATGCAAAAGGTGTGGTTTTTGCATTCAACGTTTCCATACTTTATTCAACCGTTTCCATTTCGGCATAATGTCAGTCCGTAGGGTATAAAAGCGTCAATTATTTAACATGTTTGATGAAACACAGTTCCACATATCTCTAAACTGAGCTGGATTCTTGCACTCTCATGTGCAACTCTGCTGCATTTTGTGAGGGATTCTCAATTTTAGGCTTCATTTTCTGCCCTCTGAAATCAAACTAAAAAATCTCTTGAATTTTCACTGATCTCAAGCACTAACTAAACATTGCCAATTTTGTTTCCCTAATAGCGAAAGAAAATTTTTGATTATCACTTTTCAAGCATCAATTTTTGTATTTATCTAATTAAAAAGTTGAACATAGCGATTCATGTTCACGAGATTTAAAAATCGCAATTCCTATTCACGCAATTTAAAAATCCAATATCGCTATTTGTATTTCTGCAGGTTTAAAATCCAGTATTGCAATTCGGATTCACACAGTTTTATAATCCTGTGCCGCGATTCATATTCATGCATTTTAATTCCAATGCTGCAATTTTCATTCACTCCTTTTTAAAATCCAATATTACGATTAATATTCAGGTGTTAGTAATGTCAAATATCAATTTTATTTTTTATAGGTATTTTAAAAGCTACGCATTGTGATTCGTATTGTTTTCTAAAAGTCATGTATCTGTGACTCATATGCATTTGATTTTAATATCCAATATCACTATTCTTGTCAGAACTTAATTTTTTCTTTTTCTTACAATAAAGGTGTGATATTCTTCATTAGTAGGTAATTTAGTTATAAATATAAATTCATTAAATTATGTTAAATATGAAACAGTATGGTATATAAATTGATATCTTGATTTAAATTTTTTGCACATAAAATGTTCTGAGTTTTTGACTTTTGTATCAATCATATTTTGAATCAATCATTGTCTTGAATCAATCATATTTTCATGTGCATTCAAAGGTGTTCTTTAGTAACTTCAATGAAATTAATAGGTTTTATTTATTTTTTTTTTTTTGCAGCAATTAACTAATGTCATGACTTCAGTCAATCAATTAAATGCTTCACTTAGCAATCAGCTGACTGTTAACCATGAGTTACCAAGTAAGCTAAAGACAGTTAATGATGCAATCGTGTTCTTAAACAATGAAACACAAGTCCAAAATGTAAGTTTTAATTATTTCTCTTGCATTATAATTATAAGTTTTATTTATTGTGGCAGAAGAAGAAACACTAAAACTAATCACATTGGTAAAATTGAATATGAATCTTACCCTGCCCATATATAGAAGACTTGTTAAATTACTATCAAACTATTAAAACCAATTCCAACTTCAATAGCAGATAATCACTTCTTGTGATTATCTGCCAAATAAGTGGAGATTTGACTCTACTAAAAATTTTAAAGTTTATAATAAGGAAATTTAATTTTTAATTACTCATTCATTTCTGAAACTGCTGTTACAAGTTTTTTTATTGCCAAATGAAGTGAAATTATTGAATAAAAAGGAAATGAAATTACTCTAATGTAAAAGCTGTTTATTCCTGACTGTATATTTTCCAGGAATTTTGGCTGATCTGTTTGTAGTTACTAAGCTTGTCAGAGTACTACAGAAAGATTTTGAAAACTGTAGAATATGGAAAATCTAAATTTTTGATTTATTTAAGCAGCTTTTTTTATGGCAGAGGTAGAAATAAAGAAAATTTAGTCTCATGCCTTGAGAACCAATAACTTAAAGATTTCATTCTCTGTTTTTTGTTGACTGTTAGATTTTAAAAAGAAAAATAAATTATTCTTAAAAATGTTTGAAACAAAATAAATTTTGTTAATATATAATTTTTTATAATTTGATAAACTAATAAAAAGAAGGATTTTTTATCTAACTTAAATTTATTCATTATGTTTTAATAAATAATTTAAATGTTATAATAAGTAACTTATTATAAGTTACTTATCATAAGTAAATCATTTTATTTAAAAATAAAAAAGGCATACCAAAAAATCAGAGGAAAAATTATGAAGAACATATATTATTCATAATTATGGAAGTGTGCTATTTCGAGATGAAAAAAGAAAAAATTGAGTATGTCTCCAAACCAAGATATTAAAGAAGCGTGTCATTACTTTACTCTCGATTGTCAGTGTTCAGATGCTGGTCCAATGACAATTGCTTCACGATACTCCAAGTTAAATTCAAGTTGTTCCAGACCATAGTACATTTTAAGCTTTGTATTATATATAATTTTTAACTTGTCACTGCAATTATTTGCAGTTCTTTTTTTCTCCCATTTGGATGCAGCATCCTGTTTTTTTGTATATTTGCAAATTTATTAGTTTTGCAATTAAGATTGGAGTAATCTTTAAAACTGGAATTGAGAGTCAACTGAAATGAATTCTTATTGTTTATTTTTATGAAATTAAATGTATTAAAGCTTTATTTTTTTATTTGAGAAGAATGCAATTTATGAAATATCATTTAGTTATTTCATTTTAAAATTTTATATTAGAATGGAAAGACACCAAAAAATTTCATCTTGCACAATTAGAGTCTTTCTTGTTATATTTAATTACTGAATTTCTAATCTAATTGCCCTGAAAAATTCTTTTGAAAATGCGAACTTAATTATTTAATATTTATGTATATTAGGGGGACTGGAAAGTAATGTCATTTTGGCTTATTAAATATTCTTTAGTCTTAGAAACCAATTCATTTTTTCTATTCATTTTTGATCCGGCATTGAAAGGTTGTTGCTAACGAGGGTTAATACATTATTGATTAAAAATTAAATCTTGATAGCAAATATCAAATGCATCGATACATTACTTTCCGGTATTTTCCTCTGCAATGTGTTATAATAATGCATTTGTTTAAAACTAAACCATAATAGATTCAATTACTTTTAATTTTTACGAGACCAGAAAATTAAAATCTTAATTTCAATTGCAGGAAATATTTTTGAAATAAATCAATCAACGTTCTTAGCCTTTGAGATTAGAGGGTTTGGTCTACGCAAATAAATAAACAGATTTTAATATTAAAGAAAAATATTTTGAGTTACAAATGTTTAATATATGACTCTTTTGTTATGCAACAAACACTAATCTGTAATTAATTTTGTTGCACTAATTGTGTAGCTTCAGACTGTCTGCTGTGCCTAATAATGCACAATTATGTTCTTTAAATTCTTGAAGTATTTTTGGCTTTGGTGGTTTTTAAATATTAGACATTACAGTGATTTAACCTTAATCACATGACTAACAAGATCCAGAGATGGTGCAATAAAGCACATGAGTTTTTTTTTTTAATGGTACAGTGGAAAGTCGCGTATCCGGAATCGGCGGGACTTTCCGAAGTCCGGATAATCGATTTTTCCGTATAATAGACCCCCAAGGTAAACAGAGATTAAAATGATCTGAATCTAAGAAGCAGAAATTAAATAACATTATTTTTCGGGCAATAATGTTTTAGTATTAGAATGATATCTAATCAATCAAAAACAAAATATT